TAGGCCATGGTGTTGCCGCTCCAGAAGACCCTGCCCTGGCACAGCCTCTTGATGAAGATGCCCTGCTTGTTGCTGTGCAGGAGGACACCCCTGTCCAGGTGGCCAAAGAGCTTCCTGGTGATCTGCTTCTGCCGCTCGTTCTGGATGGCGTCGGCCGACGGGAACCGCACGTGCTCCAGGGCGTCGGGGGCGTAGAGCTTCTCCCCATGGCCCGAGGGCTGCCCCAGGGAGATCCTGCAGCCCTCAGAGCACGAGGTGCTGACGTGGCCCACCAGCCTCCCGCTGTAGTAGAAGCTGATCACCATCTGGGAATAACCTGGGGGGTGAGGGATATGGGGGTCTCATCAGGGAAGGGACAAAGGCGCTCCTGGCTGCCATGCCCAAATTCCAGATCTCCTGGCAGTGACATTTCCAGGGCTGATCAGCAAGTGAGAGGTCCCAATGTTACAGGATCATGGAGTGGTTGGGGTTGGAAGGGATCTCTAGACCACCCAGGTCACCTGGAGCAGGTGACACAGGAACAAATCCAGGTGGGGTTTGTTCCATCAGTTCCTCTCTGAATGTCTCCAGAGAGGGAAATTCCACAACTCCACTCTGACACCCTCCTCCATGGAAAGTTTCTCCTCATGTTGAGGTGGAACTTCTGCTGGTTCAGTTTCAAACCCATTGAACCTCTCCCTCCTGCCTTTGCTCCACACTCCCCCCATGCCATGAGCAGATCCCCCCATCCCAAAAACTCCCCCCATCCTGAGCAGCTGCTCTGTGCCCCCCTGCCACCAGGCAGGATTCATCCCAGCATGGCAATGTGGATAATCAGGAGGGTGCAGCACCTCCCAAACCAAAAGCAAAGCCTCCCTGAAGGTAGGGGACAGAGTCAGAGCCACCTCCTGCCACCACAAACAGAGAGACAAACACCTGCTGGCCAGGTGAGGAGCCTTACCTGAGTGATACTGCTCATAGCTGGAGTATCCATTCATCAGGGGCAACGCTGTGGGCACAGAAAGCCAAGATGAGCCTGCACTCCCAAATCCCAAATCCCAATCCCTCAGCTCCCCCCACCACCCTCCTCATTTTCTGCCCAGGTTTCCCACACGAGAAATGCCAGCAAAAATCTCCCAGCTGGATTTCTTCATGAGTACTTCAAACATTCTTAATAAGGAAGATTAAACACACAATGGGGAGCAGTTTATCCCCACACAGGAAGATTTCTCCTGCCCCAAAAACGTCCCAAACACCACACAAGCTGCTGGCTGCTTACCAGGGCTGGGCTGCTGCACCCACCAGTCGGGTATTGGGGGGTTCCTGCAGGTCTCCTGGGGGGGTGAGGGGCTCCTCTTGATGATGCCCAGGTACTCATCCACACAGGAGGGCTGTGGGACAGCAGATACTGAGATCAGAGCTGGTTTGATGCCTCCAGCAAGGCTCAGGGGGGGCCCAAATGGCAACACCAGCCAATTTTTGGGGGGGTGGAAAGAACAAGTCTGGCATTGTCCAGGTTGTACATCTGAATATGACCCTCAAGAGCTACAGAGGGTGACCAGGCAGGTGTGACAAGGCCAAGGAGGGGCACAGAGCTGTGACAGACACATCCCCAGGGAAGGTCTCTCCCAGCTGGATGCACAAGGAAAGCAGGAGCCAACATCAGAACCTGGTGTGCTGGTGCTGGCTCACCTAGAGGAGCTGCAAACCCGACCCTGCAGCTCTGCAGAGGCAATTTGGGGAAGGAAGTGCATTCCCAAAGACGACAGCTTGACCCAATGTCACAGACATCTTTTATGAAAAATCCTTTCCTTAGGATATTTCCTCCTGAGAAGCTGAGAGGCCTCAGGAACAAAATGTAAACATTGATTATCTGCTGCTGTGGAATGCAACAGGTGCATCTGTGATTGGTCTCGTGGTTGTTTCTAATTAATGGCCAATCACAGTGAGCTGGCTTGGGCTCTCTGGTCAGTCACAAACCTTTGTTATCATTCTTTCCTATTCTATTCTTAGCCAGCCTTCTGATGAAACTTTTTCTTCTATTCTTTTAGTATAGTTTTAATGTAATATATATCATAAAATAATAAATCAAGCCTTCTGAAACATGGAGTCAGATCCTCATCTCTTCCCCAGTCCAAGAGCCCCTGTGAACACGGTCACACCCCAAGCCCTGCCCTGCAGCCAGGGTGAGGCCTCACCTCCTTGATGAGGTCGTCGATGGCAGAGGAGCTGCAGTCCATGTCGGTGACATCGTTCAGGCTGCTCCCGTTGGCCACCCCTGCTTTGCCTGCAGGGAGAGGTGGGGCTGCATCAGAACACCCACACTTGCCAAGCACAGCTCATCCTGAAGGGTTTTGAAAACCTCTCACCCAGTGAAAGTGGTGAAAGCAGGAACCACAGCAGAGCCGTGTAACAGCACCTTGGAGAGGCTCACAGCCCCTCCGGAGCTGTTTTTTTGGGGCCAAAAATCACTTTACAACTCATTTCCCCCCTGCACAGGGACCAGCAGCAAGAAAAATCAAAAGCCTGGCTGGTGACAGAGACAGAGCTGGAGGAGAGGAGAGGGTTTGGGGTTTTTTTTTGAGCACCCCAGAGACTGGGGCTGGGGCTGCTGCTTCTCTTTTTTCCACCAGCCACGCCAGGGCAGTGGTGCTGCTGGTGGGAACCTGCAGTGCCATTTGCATAGTGGCAGCACAGCCCCTGTGTGAACAGGCTGGGGGGGACAGAGATGCTAAAGGCAGATTTCCTGACTGCAAAATCATGCTTTTTTTTTTTTTTTTGCAAGTTTTTAGCTTAAAGGACAAAGCACACAGGCTCCCCTAACCACAAATAGAGTTATAGTTAGTGTGAGCTGAGCCACAGCGGACATCAGAGCAGCTCTCTGCAAAATGATTGCTCCTCCAGCAAGAAAAGGGATTTATTGCAGTTCCCCACCATCTTCACAGAGCAGGAGTTGGGAGGAAATAAAGATTGAGGCTGGGTTGGGAGGAAAATGAAGACTGAGGCTCATGTGACTCCCCCAGGCAGGGAAGTGGAATTTGCGCCTACAACATCCTCAGGGAATGAGAGCTCCCATGAGGCTGCAGCTGTCCCATATTTCCTTTAAGGGGTTTAAGGGGTTAAAAACCCCAAGCCTGGGCTTTGTCCTCCCCTCCCTGTCACCCCAGGGGACACCTGCAGAGCAGGACAAGCACAGAGCACAAACCAGAGCAGGACAAGCACAGGGCAGGGCTGGCCAGGGACCGTGCTCAGGTGCAGGGCTGTGCTCACAGGATGGAGCCAAAACAGGGCTCAGCCCCTTCCTGGGGAACTCACACTTCTGCTCCTCCTCTGGCACGATCCTGTAGACCTTGTAGGGCTCGGAGATGTCCAGCTGGGACCTGTCTGTCACCTCCTCAAAGTCAGGGCTCTTGTTCAGGGCACAGCGCAGCCGCGTCTTCCACGTGGCCGGCTCGGCTTTGTCGCCCTCCTTGAACTTGCCTTTGAAAACAGCCCAGGCCTGAAGCAAAGAATGAGAAAAAAAAACTAAGAAAATCCTCCCTGTGAGCCCTACAAAGCCTCTCAGGGAGGAAGAGCTGGGCCTGCAGAGAGCATTTTGCATCTTGCACCCTCTCGAGCATCCCTTGGGGATTTGCTGTTTCACTCCTAGACTGCAGCCACCTGCACAGCCACCACACCTGGGGGCTTTGGGGTGCAGAGCAGCACTGCCTGCCTCAAAAATGCAGTAAAGGCTGGTAAATACCTCAGAAATGCAGAAAAGGCCTGTAAAAGCCAGGTTTGCAAAAAGCAGAGGTCAAAATCATCACTTGTGGGTTCACTTCTGCACATACGGGTCAGGAGCATGAGGAATCGCTGCTCAAAAATCAAAATAAACCTCATTGCCCAGCTCCTGACTAATATTAATAAATATAATAAAATATTAAATTAATATTAAATTAAAATAAAATATATAATTAAATTAATATAAAAATATTAAATTAATAAATATAATTGGTTTACATAATTTGTGGAATTGTGGTTTACATAAATTGGTGGAACATAATTTGTGCTCTTGGTAGGAGAACATATTATATTACCATAGGAATAATGAAAAGCATTACATCTTTTTTACATATACATATTGATTTATTTTATAGATATTTCTGTATTTTCAGAGAGCTGAGTTCGAGGCTATCCTCATAACTCAGTGCTCCCAAACCAGTTCTTACTGAAATTAAACTCCTTCACCAGTGCAGATACTTGGAACTGGGGTCAGAGGGAAGGGAATTCCTGGGGAAGACCTGAACTTTTTGCTTCAGGATGGAATTTTCCCATTTTTTCCAAAACTGGAAATCCCCGCTTCAGTGAAATCCTTCCTTCCCACCTATAAAGTCCTTTTAGGTTTTTTTTTTTTAACATAAACCCAGCATTTTATCATGCATTTTATCATCAAACTCATCAGCATTTTATCATCAAGCTGATAAGAAGTTTAGAGCAGGTCAGAAGCTGCTTCTCACATCACACCTGGATTCAAACATGCTTAAAACTGGTCCTAAATTTTGATGAAATGGAATAAATCATCCCAAATTAAAAAGCCAGGAGACCAACTGCAGCATCTCCTGCAAGGGTTAAAGATGTAAAACCCAGAGACAGCGTGGCCATGTCCCACCAAGGGACAAAACCAGCAGCACAGAGCCCAGGAACTCTCAGAATCTCTGCTGCTCACAGTGACTCTGAGATATTCAAGCTTCTTTTTCCCAGTCCAGCTGTTGAAGAAGGAGTCAGAATTCTTTTGTTCTTGTTCTCAAGGTTGTTTATT